TTTTGTGGTCTGACTTTCCATATATGAAATTGTGATGCCATCTTCTCACATACACATGCTAAGAGAAAGAACTTAGATGAACCTTGTGAAACGTGGTCAGTCTAATAGCTGTAAGTTAAGCAGATTGCAGTCAGAATATTCTTGTACCACCCAGTATCAATGGACTTCACAAGAGAGATAGCTCCACAATCCTTATGTTACTGATTTGCATTTTACTCAATTAAAAGCTTGCAATAAATCTCTGGAGTTGTATAAAACATTTGCCATATCCTCTTTTTTTTAAATAAGTTAAAATAGTGTTAAAATTGCAATTAATTTTCAACCTAAATATCCAAATGAACAGATTCTAATATTAATAACTAGGTTGTGTGTATATCTAAAACAAGAACACAAATTGCTGGTGAAACTCCGCAGCACCTGTGGGAAGAAAGCAAAGTTAACATTTCAACTCCAGTGACGCTTCATCGGAGCTGATTGCAGCTGGGAAAAAACTGACATGTATATGTGTATATATCTACACATGTACTCATTTTAACATAATTGAATTATTTTAATTGTGAATCTTCCTCTTAGATTACAGGTAACAGTTTCATGAGCACATAGTTAAACACATTGCAATTTATTTTATCTTATTTTTAATATGTGTGAAACTCATTGCAAAATGTTTCATGTGTTTATAGGATATAGTGTCACAACATCATTCAACTCAACTGTCAGGACTGGAAGGGACTTTCAACCTATCCTTTTCTTGAATAAATTAGAGCTGCATACTTTGCAAGTAAACCATTGTTTCACAAGATCTGCACATCTGCTAATATATTTGTCTTTGAATCTGTATCTAGATGTGCAACTGACATAGCAAACCAATGATTAAACTCTTCTGAAGTATAGGGAAAAATTAAATCTTTATACTTCAATCAAGATTGTATGCAACATTAGTAATCTATTTTAATATTTTAATACCTAAAAAATGTCATTACATGCTTATTTATACCAATGACCTTTTTTTTACCCTTGGATCCTGTGCGGCTGTCAGGAACATGCAAGTCAAAAGTAAAAATCAACAGTCTGATTGTACAAGTACAGTTACATGAGAGATAGAAGTAAATGTTTAGTTCATGCTTATATTGAGAAAAGTTTGATTATGGCTTAGAATAAGGGAGAGCTTGCTGAAAATAAAGTCATTTAGGCACAATGTTCTCTTGTCTTCTAATGGCCTGATAACTTAAGTAAGGGATTTTATACCATGCATGTTAAAAAGTGAGAAATCTCCATTATGCAAAGCCATAATTAGAACCAATATGTTTGCTTAGTTGTTGGCTTGTCATTGATAGAAGGAGATGGCTGGCTCCACGTGCGGAAAGAACTCAGTCAATTCTTGTTAAGAACAAGCCGGCTCCAAAGTAAAAATGTGCTAAGGATAAAAATTCCTTTTCTCATTTCATAGACCAGAGCTGAACCTTTTGCCCAGTCTGTGAATATGCCTTTCATCTCATTCCAAATGTAAGCTTCAGGCAATTGCTGACATTATTGAACATATGGTGGCAGTATCTTACTCAAATATAAAAGGGCCATCTTAAGTATTTCGAAATCATTACAAAAGTTCACATTTCACATTTATCAACTGCTGCAAGCCAGGTTCAAGTCTTAATTGTGCTTTTAACTTTTGCATGAAGTGCATTGTGTCAGAAGCAATTCAATGAATTTGCTGGTATTTTGAACAGTTGATACCATTCCACCAGTTCCACAGTTTATATTTACTTCCCAAGGAACAAGGCAGAACAAGAAGCCCCTGCCATAACTGTCAGCATAGTTCTCCTCTGTCAACAAAAGTGACAGTGACCAGTGAAATCAATGGTCAGGATTTGGCATTAATAATATCGACAAAATATGGTATTTATTATCGTTACTCCTATGAAACCAACAGCAACTTCTGTTGTTCATACATGTTCAACTAAATGTGAAAATTTAGGAGTTGTAGTTAACACTTCCAAAAAAGTGGTTGTAGTTAACATGGTGAACTGTTGGAAGACTACAATTTGATATCAATGAAATTTGCCCTTATAAAAAGTAATATCCATAGTATAGTGTTCTAAAAAGTTGCTGTCTTTTTAATGAGGCGTAACTAGATTTTTATTTATATGCTAAGTTCATAATACTTCTGAACAATCTCATTGGCCCTGAAAATCATAGCAAGTCCAAACAAGACAAATCCTATGTATATCTCAGCAACTTCTTGATGTTAGTGACACCAGAGGTCACCAAATCCAATTAAAACTGTACACGGGATTCCAGTTCGTCACAGTTGAAGAACTAGCTGGTGTACTCCCTCAAAAACTGCTTCATAATGGACTGTCTCTACAACAGCTCACAGTAATTTATTCTCCCAACTGGGACTATGCTCCCAGGATACAGGTATTTGTGTCTACTTACAGGCACAATTTCAGCCTGTCCACAGATAGGGTTAGGGTTAGGGTTGGCTTCACTGAGCTGGTACTGTTTCTGTGTTTCTCTGAGCTCTCTCATTCAGTTGCAGAAAGCAAGTGTGGCTTTGGTAGGCATCTTTCTCCCTTGCCCTCAGCTGCACACAACTATGAAGGACACATTGCTTCTTCAGAGCCCCACAACCCCTCAGACTTCTCCTGAGTCCCAATAGCTTGGAGCATGCTGTAACAGAATCTTTTTTAGAATGGACTCTGTTCTCCCTGCTGCTAGGTACTGGAATGACTAGCAGCCTGAAAGTAGCGACCACCTCTGACAGCCTCTATCTATTTGAATAAACTGACTGGTCAGTAAGCATGAACTGTTTTGGATCACCACTTGACAATGTTTCAATAGGCCTTGCCTTTCTTGCTCTGTAATCCTGAATGTAACCAAATATTTTGGATCAGTCAAATGTAGTAACTCCTCGGAACTCCCCATTTTCCCTGAATGTTATAATATTCACAGATTGCTGGTGTGCATTGCATAAAATAGATACAAAAAGAGGATTTCATCATACTGATCTAGGTTAGTCAGCAATGTGGCTGACTCTCAATTGCAACAAAAACAGAAGTTGCTGGAAAGGTTCAGCAGGTCAGGCAGTATCTGTGAAGAGAAATCAGAGTTAACATTTCAGGTTCAGTGACCCATTCTCAGAACTGCCCTGTGCAATGTCCTAGTCAACCGCTCAGTTGTATTCAAAAACAGTGACTCATCATCTATTTAACTGCAATTAAGGTGGTAATAAATAACTTGTGAGTGATGCCTGCATTCTGAGAATGGGAAAAACAAAATACCATAAAAATTCTGGGGCCATTTTAACCCAACCTCCTTTGTGAAAAGCTCTGATTGTTATAATAAGAAAGCACATCACATTTTTATAGTTGAAGTATGAGTAGTTTCGGTGCTGTATGTAAGGTGATATGAACTGGTTGCAGGAGTGTACAGCAATATCACCAAGTGAGCAATATGATTTGAAACCTGAAGCCCAGAACAGTCATGATCTCAAAATGTGAAGCCTTTTCTCCTCCCTTGCTCTTTATAAAGTCCTGATTCATCACAATACTCTTTTAGATCCTTTCTCTGCTGTGCACCTGATAGAACACCTCTATTGCTGTAGAAAGTCTGAAAACCACTCGCAAAAAAAAATTATAATAAAACTTTATGATTCAGTGGTTATCAAACTTTTAAAGGTTAGGCCCCACTAACAAATCTCATAAAATCTTGCACCATTCTAATGAGGTGTTCTGGTAGTGATACATTTTCAAAAAGAAACTTGCTTGTACCATCACCTCCACTAATCAGCTCTCATTGTGAAGTTCCACTTTGGTTTTCTTCTCTCAAGGCTTTCTCTTCTGGATCTTTTCCTCTTCCTTCATTTTTACCACTTCAGTACTGGGCCTCTAGCATTTCCTTTTCATGTACTATTTTAAAACCTTTACTTTCTCTCACTTTTATTTCTCCACGTCAGTTTGCATTCAGCTCTCCCTGCCTGACATTTCTCCTCTTTTCATTTCCTCTTACCTTTTCTTTTCTCTCTATCTTTTTCTCTCTTTAGCAGTTAGTCTGTTGACTTTCTACAGCAATAGAGGTGTTCTATCAGGTGCACAGCAGAGAAAGAATCTAAAAGATTATTGTGATGAATCAGGACTTTATAAACAGCAAGGGAGGAGAAAAGGCTTCACATTTTTCCCTCCATTATTCTTGTTTAGGGATTGAGCATCATTGGCAGGCCAGCATTTGTTGCCCTTGGATTGGTTGGGTCTCAACTTTCTTCAAAAGTCCTCGTATTGTTGTGGGTTTGGAGTCATGTGCAGGCCTAAATTCACCAATGAGCTCTAGCTTTAGAACATTGACCTGGGGCTCTGGATTACTAGTCCAGTCCCATTACCACCTTGCTACTTCCGCCCCATGTGTCATTGTTCGCCGCAAATCTCTACTACTCTTCTCCTTCTGTTGTTAGGGCCATCCATCCCTGTTGCTATAACTCCGATCTGCGTTACTGAGAGGCACATTCGCCTGACTCCGATCTGAGTTTCTGGCTGTAACTTTTGGGACGCTGCCTTGACTGATAGTTGACTTTCAGTGGGTCGAAGTGAGTGGATAGACGCAGAATCAGCAGGTGGCAGAATGCAATAACCGGAACACGCGATGTTCTTCATTATAACAGCCAGCCTTTACAACCTTAAAGAAAAAAAATGCTGGATTTCTCTCTAAGGACAAGAAGGGCAAACAAACACAGCACGATAAGATAAATGTGACATCAATAAACCATTTAACCCCTCAAATAAATACATCTCACACTGACCCGAAAAGTGTCCTAACTCGCCTCCAGTATCATTAATGCAACATGAATAAACATTTTACCCTTTTAACCCACCAGACGTTTCTTCTTGGAAAAGAAGGCAGAATAATTTAGATGCCTGGACTCTCAAATTCTTTCATGAGTCAGACATTGCAGTTTGAAATGTCACACTGATCCAGTAATGTGATTGTATGTGTGTGTTTTTTTTTCACAGCCTGTCTTCCTGTTCTTTCGAATAGCTGCTGGGGCAGGTAAACCTAATAGAAATATGCGCAACTGTTGTGTGGTGCAGTGATGTGGTGGTAAATATTAATGTTTTATTTTTTTTACTATTCATTCATTTTCATTTTGGGCACTGAACTAATTTGTTGGCACTTTTAACACTTTGGCTATTATTGTTGACCAATATTAACTGCGTTTTCGTTGTTGCTTTATCTCTCTCCCCCTGCGACTTTGCAGCTAAACGGTATCAGCGGACTGAGAAAATCTTTCGAGAAACTGCCCTCTAGTCTGTTTGCAACAAGCAAATAAGAAGAGGAGGAACACGGACATCAGAACGTTCGCGCACATCTCTCTCATTCGATTCATGTTGATGCTGTATTTCTTAGGGCCGCACCTCAGGCTGCTCATCATCCATTTTGCTTTGACGTCTGAAGTCTTGCACAAGACGGCCACACATACCTCGCCATTTCAGACATTCCTGTGACACTTGAGAATTAAATGTGGGACAGTTTTAAAATGTGTCACAGATTTGTTGCCAAACACTAACAGTAGAACTTACTACATCTTTTAAATATCTCACGTTTATAATGTTTAGCTGAAAACATTGTCTTCTAAAAAGGAGAAACCGTTTCCTTATGTAAAGTTTCATGAAGTGCAATGCGAAAATTGTATATCGATACTGTATTAGAGAGGTTTTTTTTTGTACATTGGATTGTATAGATCGTGGAATTACTTCCAGTGATGGTTTTATTGATATTCCCTTCATCTTTTTACGTCTGTGGTAGGCTAGTTAGGCATTTTCATTTTGGTGATTCCTCATATTAGATACTACATTTTACATATCTGGTTTTGAATCACAATTTAGCCCTTCTCATTTTTATATTCACTTTTAAAAGGAAACTAATTTATAATATAATCTTTCCACAAGCCTACGTGAAATTCCTTTCGTAAAGACTGACTGCTCTGACATATCAACGATTAGTTAGTACGTATAGCAGATTGAATAGATAAAAAGTACAAGTCCTCGACCAAGTTATACTGTAGATAGCTTATACAGTGCCATTGTTGATGAAATAATCGAATTTGCTATAAGCACCACAAAAGTCTTTCTGTGTTACGTACTTCTATTGTAACTTATTCCTGAATAATGCCAAGTTTTCAGAATGTGAAAATTAATAGGATGGGTATCATAAGATTTTTTGTAAACTATTTCTGTCTATTTTTGTTACTGCATATAGTGCCAAGTATCTATGGACAGAGTTTAGTGGGAATGTCTCCTGATAATCGCTTGCTAAATGTGCTTCAATGGATTGTATATAAAGCCCTGAAACCTGAAGTTGCCAATTTCGTATTGTACCGCGAATATTTAATCTCCAGCGCTAATATTGCAAATTTTACATGCTGCCTTCTTTACAGCATTAAAAGATGATTAGGTCCGAAAATGGGAAACACAGCCAATGCCGAAACGTTTCCTCTTATCGATTTAATTTACTACACTACAAAGTTCACTAGCTACTTGATAGCGGTGGATTGATGCGTGTTTTCGTATAAATCACTACGATTGGAAATGATTTTGTGTCTGCCGGCAGAATTTATGTGGCCGTGACCGTGAGATCATTCTCGTTTGTAGACCAAGTGTAACAAGCAGGATGCAGACAAACTGTACCGATGTGTCCATGTATCAATAGCCACACACTGTAAACTATTTTATTAAATCAAGGATTCAACTTAAGTGACGTTTATGGGCTATAGAAATAAAATTCTTTGTTTCTCAAACAATTCAAGTGTCACGATTCGCTTTTTGTTTCCTCTCGCGTGCTACCTACTCTTCTGTCAGATATCTTTTTGATTTGTAACTGAGACGCGCCTTTTACCGTTTCTAGAACTTAGTTCCTCAAACTTTTCCTTAAGGCAATATGCACAATGTCCTCCCGAAGTGCTGAAGACGTGCAAAGGAAGAGGTTCTTTAAAATCTCCAGGCTCAAGAGCTTCAGCCGCTAGACTCTCACACGCCGAGCTGAGGCGAGAATGGGCTGTCTTTTGAAGATCGAAGGGGCATTAGTAACACGTAAAGCAATATAAGAAACGAGTATTTTGTGGGGGCTGGGGGTGGTGGGGGTGAGCTGTTAAAACAACAACGCGGATGCTGAAAATCTGAAACAAAAAAATTGCTGGAGAAATTCAGCAGGTTTAGCAGCATCTGTGGAGAGAAAGCAAGAATTGACGTTTCGAGTCCAGTGACCCTTCTTTCAAACCAGATGTTGCACTCATTTGTGCGGGTTTAAAGTTCCCATTCACTGCAGGTGCCTCGATCTCCTGTTGCAGGCTGGTGTTTCCAGTAGCAGCAGTAAGATTCGCTGGGGACAGTCCACACAATGAGGCAGCATCCCTCGGAGGGAAAGGAACAAGTGAAACATTTCGGCACACACCCCATCAGAGGAGCTTTATCAAACATAGATCAAAGTGATAGCAAATTTAATTCACCATTAGCGAGAATCTTCTCAGGTTAACACGCGAATTTGTTACGGTTTACTCTTTGACGGTCTCACCAAGTAACCGAGTTCTCTCGGCATGGGCTGGTTATGGTGTAGGTTTCCGACAATATCCCACCCAGCGCCACTTAAATACGCCAGATAATTACAATTCTCTATCGCCTTTTTAAGCAGAATGTATTCTCGACGTAACTACAAAGTCTGTGATCAGTCCGTTTAAAATTAATCCAAACTGCTTGAAAATGGATGTGTTCAAAAGTGCTTGAGTTAATTTGTGAAGATCAGAAATAATCTCATCTAAATTGACGAAAAATCCAGAAGATTTTGCACCAGGTGTAAATGTATTTTAAAATTGTTAATATGTTACTTGTGGACGAGGGATTTAAGATCAATAAACCTTTTTCTTTAAAATAAAGTAGCAACATTGTATTTTACACGGACACGGTAGAAAAAAAAACACAAAAAAGTGATATGGGTCCATCCCCCAAACACACATGCGGTTTCGCCCTGCATCTGCAATACAAAAATCTTTCAGTAATCATTATTTGCCGTTTTCTCGCTCATGATTGTCAGTTTCATATGCTTAACTGGCTCTCTGATTTCTGTTCCCCGGTCTAAACTTGGCAAGCCGTAACGAACCTCACTAACTATATCGAGTGGTAAGGTTCTATTTCTATCCAGAAATCGTTTTCCTCTCAGACAACATGTTGACCGATTTTGGAACGTAAACTAAGAAAGAACAGAGAACGGGCCAGCCTGCCGTTATGGCAGCTCCCAAACTCTCTCACGCAGATTTCTTCCCTTATATGCCTGCCCTTTCCCAGAACGTGCCCCCCAATATCATAGTTCAGCTCTTCACTGGGAATCTGTTGCCATTTAAGAACGGATTCCACTCCCACCCCGACAATATCCGCGCAAGATATATCCCGCACACAGCACCCCGCGAGTTCTCAAAGTTTGCGAGAGCGGCCGGTAATTCTGTTTAAGAAATGAGCGACTGAAATGTGTTTGCAGTGAGATATTTCGTTAGTTCAATCTATATGACCATCTATGACTCTGTATAGATGAGGACTGGAAAGTGAGGTAGAAAGATGCCTCTTCATCAACAGACGAGCTGGGATATGACTTCTGATCTCCAATAGGGAGGCACACTGCACTGGTACGCAAGTGGTTGGAAGGATTGATACATCAACTTCCTGTGATTTTTGGTAAATATTCGAAAAGTTAATTTTAGTTGTTTCAAAGCATTTGATATGTCGGTGTGACTTTTTTTTCAACAATAACTAAAACCATTGTGTCCCCACATTCGACTGCACACACGCACGAGTGTTTTTGAACTGGCAAGAAACTGCTCCCGTTGGCTGATATAAATTATTCCCTCAAACTATGAGTGAGTCTGTAAATTCGGCAGAATTTGACCTACTTATCAGGTGGTCTGGATTGATCATTCATCGCGCCCCACAGCACATTCTGAGCAGCAGGACCGCAGGCCTGGCTCAGAGACGCGGTCATCCACTCTCTCAAAAATCAAAGACTGAATAACAAGAAAAACCTCACTGACTCATTTTCGACCAGTCTGATTTCTGAAATGATAACGGAATCTGTCCGCTGCAAAACAAAACCCGTATAAACATGAGTGCGATACTCACATAAGTAGTAAATGCAATTTCAATCGAAAAGTTGAGAAACTTGTCAAAATGTCTTGACAAATTTAACATGTCAGTTACGTTTACAGTAACTACGAGTTTTGTTCCAAAGCAGCTACTATTGAGAACTTTGAGAGACCCTGTTGCCGCGTTTGAGATTCACACTGGCTTACTTGTAAGCTACATAATACAATTGCTACAATATTATAAAATATCCAGGCACTGATTGCAACGGTGATTCTAAACCCTCCAATTTCATCAGTACGCAATATAACTGCTACAGTATTATGAAATATCCAGGCACTGATTGCAACAGTGACTCTAAACACTCCCAATTGCACAGACCTGTTGATTCGACCCCAGCGTTGAATATAAAATTCAGAACAAATTCGCCCAAATGTTATCAAATTAGGTCTGCAAGTTCGGTTTGGTACAGAGCCCGTTGGTAAAGTGATAACATGCAAAATGCGTTTTACTGTCTATCCTTGAAATAACTCGGAATCAATTCTACGTTATCAGCGCATACGCCTGGTTACCAGACCGCCTTGGTTCGAGTCATCACTGAGATGATTTGAGTGTGACAGTCACAAATTAAATACTTAGTAAGTGCCGTTCTATGATCTCCGCGTAATTCGTGAACTCTCACTTCAGGGCACAAAATCAACCGGATTCCGACCACGGGGTTTCATATTGTTAAATAATTTATTGGCAATACAAAGTTTCTTTTTCCAACTATCGTGGACGCAATAATATTTCCTTCAAATCATCTCCAGCAATGTTCAGAGATTCCTTAGGATTTAATGGCGCTAAAACGCGGGAAAAAAAACTCCTCCGAAGGAAGTCACCAACACAGGCGAAAGCAAAATATTAGCCTTTTGAATGTAAATGCACAAAAAAGTTTACATTTAATTTTTTTACAACACAAACGTGCATCTTAGTATGTACAGCTACAGTTTTAATCTGTAATTTATACAAAAGGATGAGCTCTGATTGTTATTCCTTAACATTGAAAATTCTAAGAAAAAGACCCCTGGTTCTATGGACATTTGAGGGTGAACTGTGATCTCCAAATCTCCTTTCAAACTTCCGCCAGATTCAGTCCAAGTTATTTATATAATCGAGCTGTAAGATATTTCCATAACTTATTCTGTAAAAAATATATACATCTCACATACATTAAGCTGTACAACACATATCACCATTCGCTGGAACATCGATTTATTTTAAACTTCTTTTTATATATACCCTGGTTAATTCAGCCTTTCAAGCTGTTCATATAATCATTTCTCTTTTTTAAAAAAAAAGTTTGTCACAAGATCTCCGGGCTGTTGTGTGGGTCCAGGATGGTGAGCGAGCCGGCGCTTTTGTGCTTTTTTAATAACCGTGTGATTTTCTCGTCGTCTGAGTTGGGATCAAGGGGTCTGTTGTACTCGTCTTCGTCCTCTTCGTTTTCCGACGTTTCCTTGAGTTTTTCAGTCTCTGAATCGTGCTTTTTCTTGGCTGTGGCCATTTCAGCCGCGTGTTTCTTCCTCCACTTGGTCCGTCTGTTCTGAAACCACACCTGTTGCGAACGGAAAATTCAACGTGTCAGTGCGGTGTGCTTCGGTGCATTCCAGTTCACTATCCGAAAAGCATAGCTGTCTCAGCCATTCCTGCCTTGTATTCAGCAATGCAGTTAACTCACCTTAAACCATTATCCGAAATGATATAGAGGAAGGGAGGCCGAGCTTTGCCTATTTACCCCCATCACATGTTTTAAGTTCAACACAACAGTGTGTAACAGGGTAATTGTGAAATATTTTGCCTCAGTGAACGGGCATTGCAGTTTACATTGTTGTTACTGGTATTTTACATGAGCTGGCAATGTCAAATTTCAGTTTAGTGTATCCGACACTCAAAATGAAACATATGGATTTAGAAAAGGGCAGAGGAAATGGACAATCCAATTGTTGGTGCTTGTACAACAGTGCTCCTATTTCTGAGACCAACATTATCAAAATAGTTACGTGGAAACTATTAGTCAACAGTAGCTGCTTCCAGTCACTTTAGGATTGAGACCAAGCCTTCCAGTCAATCCCGGCCTAGTAGAAGTGTCGAAATCATTGCGAAATGCGGACACAACAGATTTACAACAACAAAAAAATCTACAAAACTTTGGCATTAACAGCACAATTTGAATGTACAATTTTGCTGTGTGTTAAATGAGGTTATTGCGATAGGAATTTCTCAGTAGAATGTTTCCTAATGTTTAACACTCAGGTACGATCTGTGTTTGCTGGATGAATTCCACGAAGCAACTAAGAGAGATATTTTACCTTGACTTGACTCTCTGTCATTCCCAGCGAGTAGGCTAACCGGGCTCTTTCTGGTCCAGCTAAATATTTGGTCTGTTCAAACGTTTTTTCCAGAGCAAAAATCTGTTGACCTGAAAATGTTGGCCTGGAATGTTTCTTCTTTCCGTCTTTATCAAGGACCAAACTGCCCTGCGCTGTTGGAGGAAAAACGAAAAAAAATCAAACAGGGAAATATTGTCTGTAAATATGTCGACTCACCGCATAAAAAAAAGAACTCAATTCTTTGCAAGTTAAAAGTGCACACGTGAAGAAGTTAAATTGGCTGCAATTAATGCTCGTGTTCTGTTGTATTTTGGGAGTTTCATAAAATTAAAACCAAAACAGCAAGTGGCTGTATGGTCAGCGCTGACCGCACAGAAATAAGCAACAAATTGTTAATTTGCCTCACCAGTTGAATCAATGTTTATCGCAATGATAGTATTAACGTTACAGCAGCTGGAATTCAAGGAAAGTTTGTAAGGCTGAAGTGAAAGCATTTGTACAAAAATTCAGAGCAAAAAGCAAAGTTTTCTCGGAGACAATGTTTTAGCTAGTAATGTCAAAAACAGATTCGAACGTGTGTATATACATTTATATATATACATATGTAGATATAAGTGTATATAAGTGAATATGTGTATATATGCATTTAAAAACAGCAATGCGTTTAGAGAGTACGTACTTGGGCAGGCCACCCTGGGATCTCTCCATGGGGATCCCTGCATCATTCCCGGCCAGAAGATGGGAGGTCTCCCCGGCAATTCAGCAAGGGGCTTGGGGTACCTGGAGACGCTGGCTGCTGTCGGGTTGAAATACATTCCCGCCGTCGTGGCAAGTCCGTTGAGTCGAGGGAGTCCAGAGAGTAGATTGCCAGCGGTAGTGACCGGGCGGCCTAGAATGTCGTTGATCCCGTGCGGCGTTCCCAGCGGGATCTGTGCGTTCAAACTCGCCAGGGTCGGCGCTTTGAAGCTGGACGGATTCTGCAGGGAGTAGGGAAATATAGACGCCTTCATCTCAGTCATGTTATGAAGCGCAGCCAGCGGCGTACTGCTCAGGACGAATGCACTCTGGCGGGTATCCATCTGCCCGACGGCTAACATTTGATCAGCTCATAGAGTTGACAGGACCCCCTGGTAAATGCTGCGAGAGCTCTGTGGATCGTCCTGTTGTCGCTGGTACAGATCTATCGGGTGTATGACAGAGGGAGACTGTGCCCCTAATGACAAGTTGGGTTGATCCAGAGGAGGCTGTCCAGTCCGGGGAGATCTCCAGGCTGGGGGTGGGGGGGGAGGGGAAGGGAAAGGGGTGCAGTGGGGTGGGAGGCGGAGGAGGGGGGGGAGGCAGGACGCTGTGTTCTGTGGCCCGGTCACCAGCCACTATCCTGGGCTTCCCGCGGAAATTGAGGCGAGTCAAGGGCCGGGCGCGGGAGATGCGCTGATAAACCTGCCATTCCCCCCTTGCCATTGGTCCAGGACCGACACCCTCACTCTGTGATTGGCCACACGCCTGCAGTTCCTGAACGCGCGTCAGCTCAGAGTCGGAGTTCGGTCGGAGCGGCCGGAAGATGAGGCAAATCTCAGCCAAGATTGCTACCAGTTTCAGTCCCACTTCAACACAACAAACCCCTTGTCCATGAGACGATCCAAATCACCAAACAACCTCAGCAATAAAGCTTGTTTTCCGTCTGTTTCTCTTTGTTGTCATTGCTATATTCTGCCTGTGCGAGGAATTGGGTGGTTAAACTTTATTTTTTATCATTCAGAAAATGCTTCATTTAAAAGTAACTTCTTAAACAAATTTTCATTCCAGTCGAGTTCTTCTAAACAGTTCAACGAGCTACAGCGAATTTATGAATGAAATAGTAACATGCAATAAAAAAGTTACAAATAAAAGCTGATCTGAACTGTATGACTATTATATCCTGCATACGTCTATACAATTCATACCATGTACTGCACATGTGTACAGCAGTAGGTTTTCCCCTAGACTTTAACGAAATTATCCTATTTTATTAGCATCTCAAATTTTTAAAATATGGAAAGTGGCTGTAAGATGAGCTAAAACCCTTTTAATTCAAGGGTTTGCGTTATAATGTTTGTTTCTGTTAAATGCATGGTTAGGCGCGTACAGTTAATATTCAAAACAAAAGCCCGCTCTCTATTAAATAAGGACACGAAGATCTCGAATACAAAACCAGTAGCACTGTTGTTTGTAGCCAAGCACAGCCCACTTCAATTTTTAAATACCTAAGTGCCGCTGACGCACAAATATGTTTCAATACCGCTTGTCATTGTCAATTATCTGCAAATGCAGGAGACGCTCCACTTTATCAACTTATAGCTACGACAGGAAACTCGCTTTATTTCAGTTGGTCCGAAATTAAAGGAACCGATTTGGATCAGTTATTCCAATGGTGATAAGAGGGGCAAAGACTGGTTACACAATTTAGAGCGTGAGTGAATTCCCCATTCTCAATAGGTGTTTGAGTGTGTGAAAGTGCCTCTCATATGTGGGACACACGCACTCATCACTATGTTCATGCTATTTATTGGTTTCAAATACACAGTTTATATAATAATGGAAATATCTAAACACGTTCAACCCGATTCAATATTCTACTTATTTACTTTCTGTTTGAGGAGATTTTGTTTTTAAAAGTTGATCTTCTAAACGAGTTCAGAATTGAACCATTAAAATGATCAACCAACCAAGGGGACAGGGAATACACAAACGGACCTCATTGATAAGTCTTTAAATACGTGTTCCACGTTAATAACTTGTTTAAATAGAAATGGAATATCGTGATATACACTTGCATAAAAATGACTTTAAATTGAATTATTTGTTTTGAAATTAAATAAGAGAGTATTTTTAACGCCATCAGTTCAGTTTAATGGGCGAGTGTATTCCTTGAGAGAATATCTTCATGCATGAGCTTCCAGTGTCTTTTAACAGGAGACATCAGCCAAAACATCATTGTCACCCCACAGCAGGTCCCATCCATTTTGGAGTACTAATAATTAACTATCCAAATATGGCGCCTATTCCGATCACGTAAGATAAATGAACACGAGATGTCCCTTTCTGAGCTTTATTCATTTACAAATGAAACTTTTGAAGAATCAGCCACTGGCAACGCTCTACCGCCCTTAATTCGCAAGTTCATGAACAGAACAGGAGTGTGCTAAATCCTAACGGGGCTTTAAGCAATGAATATCATTTTTAATAAGCTCCAACTAGTTATCTGCAATGATTGGAAAGTTTTCAGTGGGGGTGAATCGCTTTATTTTAAGAAATGATCGAGACCTGGACCTTGTCTTGAGAACGCAGCGTGAGACCTCTAGTGAGCACATGGGGTTAGAGCAGGGATCCCGGCCAGAGTTATCAGAAAATTTACCCTGAAAATTTCAAATGATACACAGCAGTTTTACTTGGTAAAAGTCCACTCGTTTGGCAATGAGATGCAGGGCTAATAAAATCGACAGCGGTTTAATTGGAAGCATTTGGTTTAAGATCAACATTTGCGAATGAGCTCTCTGTATAATCAAGCAGGGTTACGTGATGTACCCAAAACCACTATCAAGCATCAAGTACTGAACAAAGTAACTTCACATCAAATCGAAAGAACGGTGCAGATTAATGTCGGATAACAGGAAGTTGATGAATGGGACACTCATTGCCCCGGCACCTATTGATTCCCAATGCACAAGGTATTTAAACGAGGAATTAATGCGTTCTCTTTAATGAGGACAGTCCGAGACGAGACCAGCTAATTACCAACTTTATCTCTTGATGCTGGTTTTCATTCCGATATTTTCCTGAAAGAAACCCCTGTTTATGCAATGTCTCCCACCCCATATTTCTGCTATTCGGTGTCTGTGGAATTTTCACTTTCTTGTTGAACAGTCCGAGCGCGTTTAAATGGTTCGTCTGGGTCATTTCGAAAGTTTCCAAACAGGTATGACTCACCGCCTCTTTCTAGCTGAAATTGAGCTTTCTTTTCTTTAAAAAGAATAATTTTTGAAATGTAGGAATTAGCAGATACCTGGAATCGATCTTATAAAATTGGCAAATCTAATCTGTTCCATCCGGTTACACCATGTCTGTCACCAAAACAATCAACTGGACAATTGGCATGAAACGATAATATCTTCCATTATGAATGCAATATGGCTTCATCTAAATGACCTACAACTTCCACTCTGACAAGAACTCCTTTCAGAGATAGATTTTTGTTGTAAAAAACAAAGAACAAATTATTTTAGTTTGGATGTTCCTGTATAGTTGATGCCATTATAGTACATTATTCGGGTATTTGCTGTTCTGAAGTGATCACACATCTTCTAGTTTAGAATTAAGTTAAACCGTAAATTGGCATTGACACTGCACATGTACATGTACTGCACATATCCAAATTGGGCAACTAGGGACGGGGAATAAATGCTGACCAACCGGCGCTGCTCACGTTCCACCAATGAAGAAAAACAAGTTTTTTTTTAATTTCTAGTGTTCAGAATGTGAATTGAAATGAACCATTAACTGGGTTGATTATTACTGGCAACATTTTTGTTTAGCATTCTGTTAGTTTCATTGATAATTTTAGCCCACTTCTTCACTTTTCGATAAAACACTTGCTTACATATACAACAAGGTAACATGAAGGATCCCTTCTTCTCTACCTCTCCCCTTGCATGAGGTGTGGAGGACACCCTCAGGTTAAATCACCATCGGTCTGTAACAAGACAGCAACCTTGTGATCCTCCGACACCACAGCGTCTTTACGTTTTACTTTTGTATGTTCAAACAGCACCCCACCACAAACCAAAAACCCACATCAACGCTCAAAATCGTCAGATCTCAGTTTAATTCCCATTGATGCCTGAGTTGGAGGATTGGATACAGACTTGGTTTGAATGGCTTCCACGTGGAAATAAATGGTTGCTGTCTTTTTTTTTAAACGTGACACAAATTAGCAAGAAGATAACACCCCGGTAGGACCATAAATCCATTCGATCCTCAAAAGGTAAATCGCGCAGTCAGACTCTCCAAATGAGTTGAGATAGAAGTGGTCGTTAAAGGAGCTTCTCTATTGGACAGACCTCACTCGTTTAAGGAGAATGAATTATCATTCCCATTCTTAGATTAAATGTTGTATGAAAAAAAAACTATGTGATATCGGAATAAATGAACACAATGCCGCTTATTTAAACAGATTGCTACAACCTGTTGCGCTAGAGTTAATTTTGAAACAAAAACAAACGGCCCCTTAAAAAGATGTAGGAAGTTTAAAACAGCCGGGGAGGCATTTGCTGCATGTTAACGATACTCAAAATATTGGTTTTAACGAGACTTTTTATATCGGACTTTTAAGAACAGTTTCTACATGATGGATTCAACCTAATTGTTAACACTTGGTTATTCAAGTAAATAAGTCAGAAATGTATATCATCTAGAGGTGCTTCCCAAGATGTGTACAGGTTCCTAGATTTTGCTTTTTTTCCCTCTGGAAGTGGAGAACTTTAAAAACAATAAACGGTTGCAAACTGCGTGATGTCTTTGTTTTATATGCGGCATGAGTGCTCTAAACTGTGACAAATAGGAATAGGCTCCCAGTGGCAAAATACTAAGTTACCAACTTACAGAGCACGAGTAACAAAACTGCTGCATCCAGATATTTAATCTCATTCATCTGGATGTCTCCGGGGATGGTAGATGGTAACATATTGAGTTCCACTAATGGCAGCTCACTCAAAAACGTTGAGCCCTTCGATCCGAATCAGCTTCAATATTCAGCTCCAAAGCAAAATACTGAGGATCTGACCGCCGACTGATCAGACCTGGGTAACATTGAATGTTCCAGCCGTATGTGCAGAAATTCTCTGGAAAATATATAGCTCCTTGTAATTGTTACATAGGGACCATGCATCTTAGAAACATATGTTTGGATTTTGCCAATTTTGTTTTTACAAGAAGAAACCTTTGAGGCTTTTGACTCAAATTAAATGTGTATTTTATTTTGAGTTGAATTGAGATTTTAAATACATTTAATTGGCTATTTAAACCAACGTTTTCATTGAACTCCAAATGCAATCCCAAACGGAAATAGATATATTCCTGCAAAAAGCATCCTCATCAAATTAAACATAATTTAGCGAAGCTTCCATAACTCGCTCAAATTCCTGTTAAGGTTTTGAGCTCTAAGTTCCCAGGCAGTTGCAACAGAGCTACCGCACGGCGCTTCTGTCACAGTTACCATAGCATTACAAATACTTT